CCAACCAGAGATGGAGAAATTATTTTAGTATTGGAAATCACAAGGGTAGGGCAAGAGATGTCCTAACAAGTGGGAATCAACTCAATGGCAATGAGTCTGCATTGGGCACTGACCCTTTTTTTTTTTGCTTTGGCAGAACTCCATGCCTTTTTCCTTACCATAATGCTTGTCATGGGGCGGGGGGTGGTTAAATTATCACTGGGTTTTAAATCATCTACCGTATCCCAAGCATTCTGCGTACCCTACCACCCCCACTTACTAGGAGCTCACTGTTTTTTTGTTGTTGTTTTGGGTTCTGTTGATTCCGACTCATAGCTACCCCATGTGACAGAGTAGAACTGCCCCCATAGGGTTTTCTTCGCTGTAATCTTTACGGAAGCAGATTGCCAGGTCTTTCTCCTGCAGAGCTGCTGAGTGGGTTCGAACTGCCAACCTTTTGGTTAGCAGCCGAGTGCTTAACCATTGTGCCACCAGGAGCTCACAAAGAGCTCATCATTGCAGCCCATATTGATTGAAGCTCATCACTGCAGCCCATATTGATTGAAGCTCATCACTGCAGCCCATATTGATTGCGTGCTCACATGCACCTGGCTTTGTGCCAAGTATTTAATGTGCATCACACCACTGCATCCTCACAACCATCTATGAGACAGTGACTGTTACTTTTCCATTTTACAGATAATGAGACTGGAGCTCAGACTCTCACTTGCTAAGGTGACATAGCTAGAAAGTGGTGGAGCTAGGACTAAAAACCAAATCTATGTAACTTAGAAACCCTGGTGGTGTAGTGGTTAAGTGCTACAGCTACTAACCACAAGGTCTCCAGTTCAAATTCACCAGGTGCTCCTTGGAAACTCCATGGGGCAGCTCTACTCTATGAGTCAGAATTGACTCGACGGCAGTGGGTTTGGTATTTTTTTCTTTTTTTTGGTATATAACTCAAGGGCCCAGACACACATCTGCAAAATAATTGTCCATCCATGGGATGGAAATAAGATTTAGGTGACTCTCTAGTCTCCAAATGACCCCAAACCAATGGAAAGATAAATGATTTTTCCCTCTTGTTCTCATACAGTGTCTAGTCCTAATTAGCAACAAGCAGCTCATTTTTTCAATATTTTCTCCCCCTTTTAAAACTTTATGTTCCGGGATAAGGACGTGTGTGTGTGTGTGTGTGTGTGTGTGTGTGTGTGTGTGTTTTGGATCAAGGTGGGGACTTACAAATTGTCAGCTTTTCACAAAATAATATTCCTTAGTGAAGATACCCCCAAGCTTTAAAATATAATAGGCCTCTGCCTTTTAATTATCATCCTACATTTAGACTGGAACGGGTTACGACATTCTGTTAGCACTGAGCTTCCCGATCTGTTGACATGCCTTTCAATTCTAGCGGTGGCAACTGCAGGTGAGGTTCCCTATGGCATGCTCTTTGGGGACCACTGCCTTAAAGCTCACTTAAGAATTATAAAACTACCTGTTATAGTCATCAATTAAAAAAAAAAACTTTTTTTTTCCAACCGCCTACAATTTGTATGATCTCAATTCTCCCAGAAGAAAAAAATGTATATTTAACAAAGAAACCAACTGACATCATGGCCATCTTCTGTGCTGGGTGAAACCTCAGGATAATTAAATTTAAATCTGGTACGTTTGCAAGGCACTCAGTAAACTATTTCTTTTTAATAACTCCTGCAAATGTAAGAAAATCCTGTAGACCTAGAGGTTTGGAACCTGTTCGGTCCGGTTTGATCCCCTGCCGAGAATTTCCATTTCCACCCCAGCTATTTACTGAATCAGAATCCACATTTTAATAAGACCCCCAGGTGATTCTTATGTATCCATCTTGCTAAAATGTAGATTCTGATTCAGTATATTTGGCGGTGGAAATGCAAATTATCAGCAGGGGTTCAAATCAGTTTGAAGCCCTGTGTAAACCCAATGCACGCAACAAATAAAATATTCTTTTAAGAAATACCTACTGTTCTAAATGATTCAGCTGTTATTAGCCAAGAAAATATCCAAATGTTCCACACCTGTGGTCCTTAGAGCCATCATTCCCATGAATGTCATTAGTCCTCTAGAATCTCCCCAGTTCTGCTTTGTCAGTCCTCAACTCTAGAAATACACTATATTCTTTCTCTGATTCAGTCCCCCAATTCCTGAGTCTTTATATAACCATGTGGATTGGATTCACTTCAAGGCCATGTCACCCAACCTCAACTGTGCCATTGATCCTTCTTGACAATGCTTTAGTGTATTTACTAGTCGACTCTTCTCTTCATAGCAACTGCTCTGACCTTTCCATTCTTCTTTAGCCCAGTCCCTTTTTGGTGGATGACCTCTCCATAAAGGCAGACATCATCTTAACTCCTTGTTCTAACGCAGCCTTCCTTCACATCTACTCACCTCCCCAGCTGCCATATGTATTGTCTCCTTCTCCTCACCTAGAATTAAAAATACTCCCTGCTCTCACTTTTTCAGTCCAAACTCTTAAAATTTAGTTTTATGCTCCCCTCAACACTTTTAAGGAGCCCTGGTGGTGCAATGGTTAAGCGGTTGGCTGCTAACTGAAAGGTTGGTGGTTCAAACCCACCCAATGGCTCCATGGCGATCCGCTCCTGTAAAAATTACAGCCTAGAAAAACCTATGGGGCAGTTCTACTTCGTTACATGGGGTCAATGCGTTTAAAATTGACTTGACAGCACACTGCACTTCAAAGGTCATCAAAGACTTCTTAATTACCCAAATCTTAACCTTTTCTAAGTTCTCACCCTTCTTTATCCTGTATTATTCACACCGTAAATCAAGCCTCTTTGTTGAAACTCCCCCTTAGCTTCTATGATTCTTTCCTACTCTTGTTAGCTTTTAATGTGTATGCTTTGTAGTTTCCCTCCTGGACCCTGCCCTGTTTGATCCCTATGTGGTCTCAACCATTTTCAGAACTAAAATCCTCAGGGAAAATCCCATTCCTTAGTATGACATACACAAGATCTTTAATGATCTGACCCTTTCCTTCTTCTCCATTCTCTTATCTACCATCACCCCCAACTGGCCTATACTCCATCTATAGTGAATCACTGGCTGTTCCCAAGTGTGCTGGGTATACCATTCATGCCTTGCATATTCGGCCGCTTCTGCCTGGTACACATTTCCCCCTACCTATCCCTTGCCTGCAGTTTCTAGTTAGCACACGAAGACTTGCTTCGGCACCATCTCCTCTGAGAAGTCTTCACTTGCTCTTCAGTCTGGGGTATGTACACCCTCCGTATTCCTTGCTATCACTGCACTGTGTCATCGTCTATTTAGTTGCCTGCCTTCCCCATTTGAGTGAAGGCTCCTTGAGGGAAGGGCCTAGGGTTTATTCACTTTTATCACCTAGCACAATGACTGCACAGGATGGGTACCCAGTAGCTGCTTAAAAAATGAAGGCATCAGTCACCATCTCCATGCTAATGAGATGACACCACTATCCTCTAGATCTGAATTTCTTACAGCACGCTGAGTATTTCTATGCTATTGTTGTTAGCTGCCCTTGAGCTGGCCCCAGCTCATGGCAAGCCCAATTACAACAGGATCAGACTGCTGTGATCCATAGGGCTTCACTGGCTGATTTTTCAGAAGTAGATTATCAGGCCTTTCTTTCTAGTCCATCTTAGTCTGGAAGCTCCACTAAAATCTGTACAGCTTCATAGCAACACGCAAGCCTCCAATGACAGATGGGTGGTGGCTGTGCCTGAGGTGCATTGGTTGAGAATTGAACCCGGGTCTCTTGCATGGAAGAATTCTACCACCAAACCACCACTGCCTCCTATTTCTATGCTGTTGTTATGTACAATGCAGTTGATTCAGACTCATAGCAACCCTATAGGACAGAGTAGAACTGCCCCATAGGACTGCCTAGGCTGTAATCTTAACGGGAGCAGATCTCTAGGTCTTTTTCCCTGTGGAGCCACTGGTGGGTTTGAATCACCAACCTTTCAGTTAGCAGCCCAGTGCTTAAGGTCGTCAAATTCAAGGACAAACTAATTTAATTAGCAGTGATTAATACAGGTGACTTTCAGGTTCTTTTTATTTATCTTACACCTTTTAAATCTTCTGTGAACATGGAATTGTTTTGGTTAAAAGGACAAGATTTCTCACTGTGCTAATACTTTAAAGGTAAGTGAGTCTTCATCAAATGTCTGTTGGATCAAACTCCTTTCTGGTTGACTTCCCAAGAAAATTTTATTAGGAGTATTAATATTTATTGAGAGGTTCTAAGTTAAACTAGTTTGAACAACAACAACAAAAAAACCCCAATGTGAACTGTTTCATAGTGGACATCTTTTCTGCCGATCAGCATCCAATAGCTGGGATGGCTAGATGTGGAGAACCCTAGAGCTACTGCCTCACTCTGTCACTTAATAGGTTTTGCATGTATTGTCTTATTTAATCCTCATGATAACCCCATGAAGTAGCTTTACTACCCCCTTTTTATAGCCGAGGAAAAAGGTGTAGAAAACTTAAGAAACTTGGCAATCAAACAGCTATTAAGTGATGGAGTGAGGCAGTAACTCTAGGGTTCCCCGCCTCTAGCCCTCCCACCTATTGGATGCTGATTGGCAGAAAAGACGTCCACTATGAAACAGTTCACATTGGGGTTTGTTGTTGTTGTTGTTCAAACTAGTTTAATTTTTTCCCTAGTAATCTAAACAAATAGTTGTTTTGACTTTTTCATTCCTTTAATTAAAAAATTCCAAGAGACTTAATAGCCCCCTGTAGCTGATGATACTCATAGCGACCCTGTACTCAGATCTAGAATTCCAGATTTTGCTGGTTTTTTAATTTTTGAAGTTCCACATGTCCTTTCTTTTCTGATGTAAAGTGACTCTGCTCTCTACATGATTCCGTCTCCCTGTCTCTGTACTACTAATTGATTCTCTTAAGTGCTTAGCAAAGAATATTGGACCAAAAAACTCTCAAAAGAGTAGCAGATCTTACTGATCCTAAAATCTGGTATGTGAAGCAAGGAAACAACAAATTTTTAATCAAAGTAAGCAGTAATGAAAGGTTTATTTAAAATTTCCAGTAGAGAAAACTCACTAGTTTTGGAATAAAAGTACTGAACGTACTAGAGTGTTTAAGTGAATATAAAAGATGAGCAGAAGAAAAATAAAACCAAACATAGTACAAAAAAATTTTAAAAGTCTGAAATGGATTTAAACAGGGATGTTCTTTAAATCCTCCAAATATTTAACAGTTACTAGGTTTGGCAAATAATTCACTTGAAAATTAAAGCCTATTTCTGTAACGTAAACACCATAAAACTGCTTATTAAATTTAAGCACTCCATATAATTGGTATTGAAACATACAGGCAGTCAATTTCAGAATAGCAGGAATTATTCATTTGCTCTCACAGTTCTATGAATTAACCAGCTGCATAACTGCTTTTTGGAGAGGATAGAAGAATGCAAAAAAGAAAAAAAAAGTTAAAAGTAGGATAAAAACTCTAAAAAATTGAAACACAGCAAAATTCAGACGTCAGTTTGTTTCTTTAAAGCAACAAACTGAAATTTTACAGTATATTCTACATTTGCAGTTGTCATTTCCCTCTCCCCCCACCCCCTCGGATACTCCTAAATCCTCTAGTCTAATCAATTCTTAACTTCCAAATATTCTGTACATACATATTTAGCAAAGAGCATACACCTAACATTATTCTGACAGCAGTATGGTCAGCATACAATTTTAGAAAGATTACTATGTATATCATCAAGATTAACCTTTACTTAAACAAATAATCAAAAACCATTACTAAACAAATAGTTTTAAAATATTATGAAAACCCATGAAAAGAAGACTCAACATGGGCTCTAAACCTGATAAAAACACACTTCAGAAAAACTAACCATTAATGCTAAACCTCTGCCAAACGATGACCTTAAAGTGCCAAACACAAAAGAATCTCTTAAGATCATTTTTTCCAACAGATAATTTGTCTCTGGCTTGGCCATCTCTCCTTTAGCTATACACAAAGTCCTGCTAAAAGTCTGCATTTTAGTTGATTTTATAATAGAATGTTACAATGTAAACTAAACAGGTTCTTGATATCAACAGTATGTTACCAAGGTTTTTTAAAAATTTTTTTAGATTTCGGAATCCAACAGTTGGTCACGAGGTCAAGTATCATCAAGGCTCCTTTTTCAGTTCTTAATTGTGTCTGACTCATCCATCCTTCAAGTACATGCAAGGCTCAATAGTTTTCAAGAGGCAGAAGCCTGAGGCCATTTAAGACACAGATGAAATGGGATTATGAGGCGAACCCATCTGAGTAAGAACTTTATCGAGCCACTGTAGGGGGCCGTGCAGATGTATCTCAATCCAGCAGGGGGTGCTAGTAACATCCTGGCGGTGGTATTCTGCTCCCCAGCCCTAGAAACAACACATTGAAGGTCATTTAACTTGTTTAACTTAGTGGTTAAGCTTAAGTAAAAACAGTTCACATTATCAGAGACTGATTAAAGCTATGAACCCTTTCCACCAGAAAACTACAGACATGTACACACACACACACACACACACACACACACAATCTGGCAGGCAGTTTTAGGAGGCTAAGTGTTCATAGCTCCTCCAAGTCCATCCATGGATTCCAAACCAAGAACTTCTGGACTCGGGCAATCAAAGCTTTAAAATACATTATAAGGTTGTTTTAATAAAGACACTTTTAACTTTCATTTTCACTGCCTGTTACGTTACTGATAGTGCCTTTTCCACAGAGTTGGTTTCATAATACAAAGGTGTATGTACTATCATAGATTTTAACTTTCTGAATTTGGATGTGTCTTCATACTTGATATGATAATTCCCTGTGATGTTATTTATTTTTCTTGAAAAGCTATTATTAAATTCTCATTTTACCATCAAGAAAATAAAGAAAAAGCTATGTTAGACTGACATTCTGTTCCTTCCCTGTTCAGGCAACAAAGGTCCTCCAATGAACAAAAAGCTCTTGATCTTTGAATCTCTAAGCAAAACTGGTAGTATATTAAGTATCCAAAAAGCTGTTATGGACACATAACCATTGCCCAGAATCAATAGATTCCATCATTCATTTTGCCAGACATCTTCAGAATTACTGAATTAAGACATCAAGGTTCCATAGAAGGAAGTCATTATGCACAAGAGAAAAGTGATCTGTTATTGCAAAGGATCAAAAAATTCGTTGATGTGGGTGGACAATGGAATGTGAAGTTCTGATAAACTTTTCTTTTGTAAGAATCTAAGAGAAGATTGGGCTTTATACATTTCTGCTACCTACCTACTCCAATACTTAGAAGAAACACATCTGAATATCAGAACTTTCAGGAAAAAGTTATATGAACTACATGTATATATACACCCATGCATTTGTACATACGTCAACAAACCACTGTTTAATTTAAAGGTTTGTTTATATGCATATTTCCTCTGCTAGACTGTAAATTCCTTGAAGGCAGTGATCAGATTTTATTTATCTTTGATCTCTAACACTTAGTATAGTGATTAGCACAGAGCAGGAGCTCCACACTTGTTCAGCTGAACTGATTTGGATTTCTCAGATATGGGAGAGTATAAGGTACAAATAATTTATAAAATGTGTTTTATATTAAAGTCCAAAAGCGATCACCTTAAAAATAGAACAAGACTGGCTATTAACAGTCTATATCATTTCTCTAAGATGCTAAGTTTAAGAGGGTAAAGTATGTGATCCTTATAATATTAAAGGGCAATATTATAAAAAGTATACAAATTCTGTTACTAGTTTATGATAAGCAGCTGTCCTTATCATGTCAGCAGAGTTTGTAATAAGATTTGTTTATTCTTAACTCTTCCAATCCAGCTTCCCAGCTCTATCCACTAAACCATGTATTTAAAAAAAAAAAAAAAAAAAAAAAAAAACTCGTTGCAGTCGAGTTGATTCCAACTCCTAGTGACTCTACAGGACAGAGTATAATTGCCCCACAGGGTTTCCAAGAAGCGGCTGGTAGATTCAAACTGCCCACTTTTTGGTTAGCAGCCGAGCTCTTAACCACTACGTCACCAGGGCTCCGAATCAGGTATAACCCTCCACTGCAGTGCTTATCACATTACATTATAATTAAACGTATACTAGACCATAAGCTCTGGAAGCAAGAATCTTTAGGTGCCTTTTCATTTTTGTATTACTTCTCTGAGGTAGTACTAAAAACATTTGCTGAATAAATGAAATCTAATAAAATTTCAATTGCCTCATATGCAGGACAGTGAATAAGCAAGAATCGATGCCTTTGAATTATGGTGTTGGCAAAGAATATCGAATACACCATGGACTGCCAGAATGCTCATTAGAAGATAGGATAATGTACTTTGGATATGTTATCAGGAAGGACCAGTCCCTGGAGAAGGACATCAGGCTTGGTAAAGCAGAGGGTCAGCGAAAAAGAGGAAGACCCTCAACGAGATGGACTGACACAGTGGCTGTAACAATGGGCTCATGCATAACGATTGTGAGGATGGCTCAAGGCTGGGCAGTGTTTCATTCTGTTGTACACAGGGTTGCTATGAGTTGGAACCAAAAATTTTTGAATGTACACCCCTGTATTATGAATACTCTTTATTAGCGTATTTTACTTGTATATAAAGTAAATAATTAAAATTGGTCAGGTAACCAAGATAAAAATGAGTTTGTGGAGAAAGTCCAATTGGAGCATTTGAGTTATAAATTCTTCTACAGTGTCTTTCAATAATAACAGACTTGTCAGGGGACTTCAGCAATCATTACCAGTTCCCAACCCCACTCCATCCCTACGGTGGAGACGATGAACATGAGACCCAGAGAAGAATCCCTGTGTCTTAATCACACAGTTAAAATGGTAAAGACAGAACTAGAACCTGGATCTCTTAACTCCTAAGGCAGTATTTTTCCTCTATCCAAAACAAACAAACAAAAAATACTTCTGGTAAGTCACTGGCCTCATTTTAAAATTCATTTTAGCCAAATGCTTAGTCAAGTATTAAAGAGTGAATGTTAATAATGAATGACAAAGTCTTTATAGTCTCATATGTGCACAGCGTACAGGTCAACCTCTTTAAAAGGCTGCCTTTAATACTAAAGCGGTACCATAGTCAGCTACAAAGAACTGTGGAATTATCTCTCAAAAAAAAAAAACAAAACAAAACAAAAAAAAAACCACCCCACTAAAAAAACCCTCTGAAACTCTGCTAATATGATTCCAAGAAGTAAGGAAAAACGATGTCTAGGGAAAAATACCTTTAACTTGAAGGGTGATGAACAAAGTAAGGTTCCAAAATTATCCTCAGTAATAAATACATTACAAAAATTACAAAACAGCTTTCAAAACAAGTTAGGTGAGCTTCTGAAGACAGAATATAAAAGCTGACTGCCTCACCCAAATACATAATTAGATTTGCTTTTCCAAGTAACAGAGAATGAATATTTATCTTTGAGAATTCAGAGACAAGTCAGTCAGTTACTAGACTAACTGATTCGTGACATCTATTCAGATATTTAAATATTTATTTGATATCTCAACGGCATCTTTTAAATTTTTATTTCTCAGAGGCAAAAGATGAGGCAACAAAGAGATCAATTATTATGAACAATGTCTTTAACCTTCCCCCTCTTCAAATCTTACAATACAATCTTTGGGCAAGGATTATAAGAAAATCATGAGGTTTACAGGAATCACTAAAAAAAAAAACTGACCAATCAAAAACCATTTCCTGGATGATGGACTTGTATTTTTACATAAAGGTCACTTGCTTATTCTTCAAACAAACAAGCTTTGCCATCACTAAAGTAGTAAAAACAAAAAATGAAGAGAAATGTGTCTACTGAATCGACCTCATGAGACAACCATGTGTTTAAGTTACATATGTTAAATAGATAACATATCCTAATAGTATTACAATGGCTAAAATAGTGCTAACAGAATAAGAAAAAGGATATGAAAGTCTGCTACTACTGATGTTCAACACAAACATGCCTATGTTCCAATGCTATTCTCCTAACAATTGACATCCTTGTTAGAGTTTGAAAACGCCTTGATAAGTTGGCTTCTATGGACGTATATCAAGAGAATATATATTTATGTACTGGGAGAAAGCACAGCACAAGTGTGTTAAACCCTAACCAGAAGAATCAGCGCTCCTTTACCTTCACAAAGCTCATGCGGATAGTGCACATTTTTGTGAGCTCATAGACGGTCTCAAAACCATGGTTCACAGACTGTGCCAATAACTGAGCAAATTCTTGGTTGTTGAAAATTTTCAAACTACACCCACTAGGGATCTTGCAAACAGTAGTGGGATGAAATCCATGATGGTAGTTGCAGTTCCGACTTTGCACAAAGATGCTGCTGTCACTGAGGCATTCGGCATATACCTCCCCTCCAACATAATAAAGGTGAACGCCTGTGGGAAGATAAAGCATATGATTTAGTCATTACAATTTTTTTTTACAGATCAAAGACACCTGTGCTATTTCTTTTTTTTAACTGTACTTTAGATGCAAGTTTACATAGCAAATTAGTTTCTCATTAAACAATACACATACTGTTTTGTGACACTGGTTGACAACCCCACGACATGTCAACACTCTCCCCTTTTTGACCTTGGGTTCCATATTACCAGCTTTCCTGTCCCCACCCGCCTTCTCGTCCTTGCCCCTGGACTGGTGTGCCCATTTAGTCTCCTTTTGTTTTATGGGCCTGTCTAATCTTTGGCTGAAAGGTGAACCTCAGGAGTGAGTTAAAAGGGTATCTAGAGGCCATACTTTTTGGGTTTCTGCAGGCTCTGTCCGACCAGTAAGTCTCATCTTTTTTTTTTTTTTTTCCTTCCTACCCTTTATTCCTTTTTTTTTTTTAAATTGTACTTCAGGTGAAGGCTTACAGAACAAATAGTTTCTCATGAAACAGAAGTACACATGTTATTTTATGACACTGGTTAACAACCCCACAACACATCAACCCTCTAACTTCTCAACCTCTTTTTTTTTCTGTGAAAATACACATAGCCAAAGATATACCATTTCAAAAATGTCTACATGCACAGTTCAGTGACATGACTACGCTCTTCCAATTGTGCTCTTATAGTCTCATCTTTTTTTGTGAGTTAGAATTTTGTTCTACACTTTTCTCCAGCTCTGTCCAAGACCATCTACTGGGATCCCTGTCAGAGCAGTTGGTGGTGGTAGCCAGGCACCATCTAGTTGTACTGGACTCAATGTGGTGGAGGCTGTGATAGCTGTGGTCCATTAGCCCTTTGGACTAATCTATTCCTTGTGTCTTTGGTTTTCTTCATTCTTCCTTGCTCCGGATGTAGTGGGGCATCTGTGCTATTTCAATATAGAAATATAAATTTACATGAATTTAAACTTTGGTAGTTAAATATTCTCTAAGTTCTGCACAACTGATAAAATCTTAGTTAACTGTATTAGTTAATACAATGTCTGAATGTCAATGTGCATGTCTAATAGGTCTCCAGGAAATAATTTAACAAAGACTCTTAATCATTCATAACAAATCACAGCAGTTTCACTTTGTTGAGAGTTTAATGCTCTCTTTAGCCATGAATTGAAAGAGTAGTGCCACTTCAAAAAAAAAAAACAGCATAACAAAGCCTGGGCCTTTATTATTGAATCCTATATGTATTCGTCATTTAAGCTCTATTGCATTTATTCTGCAGTTAGGCTGTTTGAGAAATTTTAGGGTAGAGAGAAGGGAGGACAGAGAGAAGGAGAGGAAGCAGAGGAAGTAGAAAGCCACAGGTGGAGGAAGTATGGTTCAGAGCTATAAGACGTAAGGTCTGGTTAAAAAAAAAAAAAGAAAACTGGAAAAATAATTCATACTGTGAAATCTGATCTCACTGAACTAGCACCTGCTCCAAACTTCTTCCTGTGAGATCTAAGTACTAAGAGTATAGGACACTGATCTTATCCAGCCTTTAAAAAAAGGGAAAAAGAAAAAAAAAAAAAACCCCAAAACACCCAACATCCTGACAAAGCCTATACCATTAAGGGAGATTATATAGGCCACCCAGTAAACAGTCGCATCCCATGTGGCTTTAAATGATCCACCTCGCAGGGAAAGGTTACTCTGTCACAGTTTACTCAATGCTGAAGCTACTGTCTCATACAAAATATTATGTGTTGTGTTCATACGTACACACAACGGCTAAGACTTCTGTAACTCAATTAGATAGCTGCTGCGGCAGAAGTCCATTTTCCTGCCTGGTGGAGAGAAAACAATTTTTTTTCCTGACTATAAAAATGATGAATTTTCACTTCAGAAAATTTAGAAAGTAAAATATAAGGAAGCAGAACATATTATCACTCCTTGGGTGACCTAGAGGCAATGACTGTTAATAGTTTGACACACTGTATTCAGTCTTGGATATCATTAAAATTCATTTGCACACATTTAAAATATCTGCATTATTGCATGGATATAACAATTTATTTAACTACTCTCCCACTACTGGACCATTTCTGATATTGTAACAATGCCATGATAAATGTCTTTGGAATTTTTTATAATATCCTTAGGAGAGATTCCTGAAAATTAACTTATTGGATCAAAGGCTCTTGATTCACTTTGCCACTTTCCAGAAAGCCTGAATCAATTTACACCCTCACCAACAGTGTATGAGTGGGTGCCTTTCTCATTTCACCCATGTCAGTGCTGAAACTTAAAACATAATGTCCTAACTTATTGGTGAAAAACAGTATCAGTTTTAACTTTCATTTTCGTAGTTACTAGCGAGACTGGATATGCTCTCATATTTATTAGCCATCTGTGTTTCTCTTGTGAATTCACAGTTCATACTTGTTACTCATTTATCCCACTAAAACCAAATCAGTTGCCATCAAGTCAATGCTGACTCATGGTGACCTCACGTGTGTCAGACAGAACTGCCCTTCATACGGTTTTCACGGCTGTGACCTTTCGGAAGGATTACCTTCAGGACATTTTCCTGAGGTGCCTGTGTGTGGATTTGAACCACCAACCTTTCTGTTAGTAGCCGAGCACTTAAACATTTGTGCCACCCAAGACTCTTATTTATACCACTGGGGTCCTAGAATCTTTATTATTATTATTATGAGCCAGGCATATATGAGGAGCCCTGGTGGCACAGTGGTTAAGAGCTATGGCTGCTAACCAAAAGGCTGGCAGTTTGAATCCACTAGCCACTCCTTCGAAACCCTATGGGGCAGTTCTACTTTGTCCTATAGGGTCACTATGAGTTAGAATTAACTCAATGGCAATGGGTATGGGTGCATGTAGGAAGGATATGAATAATTTGTTTCTTATTTGTTTACTCGTTAGCCCTTTATCTTTTAATTTTGTTCGTGGTATTTTTTTTTTTAACCTACAGAAGTTTGAAATCTTTAAGTATTCAAATCTCATGTGATCTTTTCTGCTGCTCTTTAAACTTGGAAAACTTCTACCTCTCAATCTTTGTCCATAGAGATCTAGAGATCAAATATATTTTGTTCTGGCTTTTTAATCATTTGCTTTAAAAAAAAAATTCAAGTTGTTAATCTATCTGCATATATAGTATGAGGTTAGAGTTTTTCCCTCTATCTCCACCTAAAAGCTAACTTTATTACTGCTAGACCATTAGAAAGCTCTTCTCTACTGATTTTTCACTTAAATTTTTATATACATGATAGTGTGAGTTTAATTTATTCTATTGTTTTATCTACACACTTTTAATTGTAGTTTTATAATGTTTTATCAACCCTAAAGTCAAGAATTTTTTTTGTTTTATTTTATTAAAAATTTTAGCTATTCTCATTTATTCTTCCAGATTAATATTCAGAATACATTTTCTAACTTTCAAAAACAAAACATTCTGATAAGAATTGTTTTAAAACTATAAATTGAATTAGGAAGAATTAATACTCTTAAAATGGTCTCATAATATCAAGCCTTTCCTTTAAAGAACGTGGCCCTTCTGTTTATTAGTTCAAATTTTCTTTCTCTAAGTAAAATTTGGTTTTCGGTACACACATTCTTGGTTCAGATTATTTCTAAGAAATTTGTTTTCGGTTGCTATTTGGAATGGAAGGAGCCCTGGTGGCACAGTGGGTTAAGTGCTCAGCTGCTAAACGAAAGGCTGGTGGTTCAAAGCCCCAGCCACTCTGTGGGAGAAAGATGTGGCAGTCT